GGCGGTTTGAATATGAATGGCCTTCTCGGCAATTTTAATATGAATGGCCTTCTCGGCAACTTGAATATGAATGGCCCTCTCAGCAATTTGAATATGAATTTGACTATGAACGTCGTCTTTCATCCATATTTGATATGATGATAGGTACTTTTTGATCATAACATAATTTCCATCGGTATCTCACAACTAATTGATATTTGCTGGATATGTTCTCCTGAACTGGTTGGTTGGTAAACATAGTTCATTTGATGATCTCATTATACCCTGCATCCACAAAAACATGTTAGTTTTGGAACACTGATCTGTGTTGAAATCGCCTTGCTCCTGGTCTCGTTATCTCTGCAACTTTGTCTGGTAGGTCCAATGCATTACAGTAGACAAAAGACAAGATCATATTAAAACATTTGCTAGGTATGAAGTTTTTGAAAAGTAGTTTTAAAGAAAATCTCTGCCAATTAATTGTCACGACATGCACGACACGAACAAAACCCTTTGTCTCAGATTGTGATATGACAGGTAGCTTGCTGGCAACTTAAAACCCTTTAAGAACACGTCAATTTGAGGCAATTAAAGTTGACTTCGAAGGTCCGAGTATCCTTGATGGAATTTTTGAGGTCCTTCTCAAAAATTCTGTCCCAGTTAGATGTTTCGAAAACAAATCTGATGATGATCACGGGAGTCTTGCATTTGAGATCTCCTCAAAATTATCCCTAGTTGCATATTTCAATATGATATTGACTCTTGTTTGTAGGAAATGACACTTCTTGTAGAATTTTTGAGGTTTTCTCAAAAATTCGTCCCAGTTTCCATTGTGAGGGGAAATTGAAATCTTATTGGGAATATAACCGAACCCTTGTGGCGCCTACGTATCCTGTTGAGACAGGAATTAGGTCAAACGTAGTTCCCATCTCGAGAAGTGACAAAAAAGAAAATTTTATAAGGAAATGACCGAGGCCGACATAGGCCGCCTACGTATCTCATTCTCGAGAATTCAGGTCGAACGTAGTTCAAGTACTAAGAAAACATTACGAATTGATAAATGGGTGACCGAGGCCGACATAGGCCGCCTACGTATCTCATTTTGAGAATTCAGGTCGCACGTAGTTCATTGCAAGAGGGATAAAATCTAAAACGACGCGATTACAAGCAAATAGAACGATTACAAGGAAATTACAAGAAAATACAAATTGAAGGTTTCACACATAGTATCTCTTAACAGCATCTGAATTGATAGCTTTGCGCCACACCTGACCGTCCATCTCCGCTAGAACCAAGGCTCCTCTTGATAGTACTTTGTGGACAACATACGGTCCTTGCCAGTTAGGTGCAAACTTTCCTTTGTATTCGTCTTGATGAGGGAAAATGCGTTTCAACACCAATTGGCCTACCTCAAATGTTCGAACTCTTACTTTCTTATTGAAAGCACGAGTCATTCTCTGTTGATACAGCTGGCCATGACAAACGGCACTCATTCTTTTCTCATCAATCAATGCCAATTGCTCATATCGGTCACGAATCCATTCGGCATCGCTCAATCCAGCTTCCTGAATAATCCTTAAAGATGGTATCTCAACTTCAGCTGGTATCACTGCTTCTGTTCCGTATACCAATAGGTAAGGAGTTGCTCCAGTTGAGGTTCGGATTGTGGTGCGGTAGCCTAGCAAAGCATAAGGCAAATTTTCATGCCAACATTTGTAGTTGTCAATCATCTTCTCAGTATCCTCTTGATATTCTTATTAGCAGCTTCCACAGCTCCATTCATCTGAGGACGATATGCAGTTGAATTACGGTGGGTAATTTTGAATTGTTCACATATCTCTTTCATCAAGTGACTATTCAGATTTGCTCCATTGTCTGTGATGATAGACTCTGGAACTCCAAAACGACATATCAAATTGTTGCGAACAAAATCGGCCACAACTTTTTTGTCACAGCTTTGTAGGAAGCAGCTTCGACCCACTTTGTGAAGTAATCAATGGCGACCAAAATGAACCTATGACCATTGAGGCGCAGGCTCAATAGGTCCAATAACATCCATGCCCCAAGCTGTAAATGGCCAAGGGGAACTCATCGCATTGAGCTCGTGGGGTGGTACTTTGATCAGATCTCCGTGTACCTGGCATTTATGACATTTTTGGACAAATCGACCACAATCATTTTCCATAGTCATCCAGAAGTATCCCGCCCTTAAGATTTTCTTTGCTAATGTAAACCCATTCATGTGCGTCCCACACACTCCAGCGTGCACTTCTTCAAGCAATTTTGTGGCTTCTGCAGCATCCACACATCTCAGTAATCCCAGATCGGGTGTCCTCTTATAAAGAACTCTCCATTCAAGAAGAAGTTGTTTGCCATTCTTCGGATTGTTTTCTTTTGAATACTTGTTGCTTTTTCCGGATATTCGCCAGCTTCTAAGTACTTTTTCACATCGATATACCATGGATTCCCATCCCATTCTGCTTCCACATGTGAACAATGTGCTGGTTGTTCTTTTAAACTATCTCAATGGATCGATATAACTTTTTTGGATGTTGTATCATGGACGATATGGTTGCAAGGGCGTCAGCAAGCTCGTTCTGTATTCTCGGTGTGTGTCTGAACTCGGTCTTCCTAAATCTTTTGCATAATCTTGTACCAATTGTACGTATGGTAAGATTTTAGGATTCTTCACGCCCATTCTCCTTGAACTTGATGAATCAACAAGTCTGAATCACCAATTATCAGTAATTTTGAACATTCATGTCAAGAGCCATTCTAATGCCAAGAATACATGCTTCATACTCAGCCATGTTATTAGTGCATCGGAATCTAAGCTTTGCTGTTGCTGGATAATGTTGCCCTGATTCAGATATCAACACTGCTCCAATTCCTGATCCTATAGAGTTTACTGCTCCATCAAAAACATTCTCCACCCAGGATATGATTCTGATATGTCTTCCCCTACAAACAATACTTCTTCATCAGGGAAATATGTTCTAAGTGGTTCATATCCTTCATCTACTGGGTTTTCAGCAAGGTGATCTGCCAAAGCTTGCCCTTGATTGCTTTCTGAGTCATGTACACAATATCGAACTCACTCAACAACATTTGCCACTTTGCTAGCTTTCCTGTGGGCATTGCTTTCTGAAATATGTACTTGAGCGGGTCCATCCTCGAAATGAGATGTGTTGTATAAGCCGACAGATAATGTCTCAATTTCTGAGCAACCCAAGTCAAAGCACAACAAGTTCTCTCTAAAAGGGTGTAACGGCCTCATAGGATGTGAACTTCTTGCTCAAATAGTATATAGCTCTCTCCTTTCTTCCGGTCTCATCATGTTGTCCCAACACACACCCGAATGCATTGTCTGAGACGGATAAATACAATAGCAAAGGACTGCCTGCACGTGGTGGCACCAACACTGGTGGATTCGAAAGGTAACTCTTGATGGTGTCAAAAGCCTTCTGACATTCTTCGGTCCATTTGGTTGGCGCATCTTTTCGTAGTAACTTGAATATGGGTCACATATCACCGTCGATTGAGCTATGAATCGACTGATGTAATTCAGTCTCCCCAGAAAACTCATTACTTCCTTCTTAGTCTTTGGAGGAGGTAAGTCTTGAATTGCCTTGATTTGGAAGGATCAAGCTCGATACCTCTTCTGCTAACTATGAATCCGAGTAACTTCCCTGCAGGTACTCCAAATGCACATTTGGCTGGGTTCAACTTCAAATCATACCTACGTAACCTGTTAAAGAACTTTTCCAAGTGTGTCAGGTGATCCGAACTCTCGCGGGATTTTATGATGACATCGTCCACATACACCTCAATTTCTTTGTGGATCATATCATGGAAAATGGTGGTCATAGCTCTCATGTAAGTGGCTCCAGCATTCTTGAGGCCGAACGGCATCACTCGATAATGGTAGACTCCCCAAGGTGTGATGAATGCTGTTTTTTCTGCATCTTCTTCATCCATTAGAATCTGGTGGTATCCCGCAAAGCAATCTACAAAAGATTGCAGCTCATGCTTAGCACAATTATCGATGAGTATGTGGATGTTTGGCAAGGGAAATTATCTTTCGGACTTGCTTTGTTGAGATCCCGATAATCCACGCATATCCTGATTTTTCCATCTTTCTTCGCCACTGGAACAATGTTAGCCAGCCAAGTGGGATACTTGGTCACTTCAACGACTTTTGATTCGATCTGCTTCATGACCTCCTCTTTTATCCTTAAACTCAGATCGGGCTTGAACTTTCTGGTTTTCTGCTTTACTGGACAGTACTCTGAATTGATAGGCAGCTTATGGGAAACAATATCAGTGCTTAACCCTGGCATATCATCATAAGACCAGGCAAACACATCGATGTATTGTCTGAGCAGCTTGACCAATTCTTCTCTTTCTGTTGCTGCCAAATGAACACTGACTCGGGTTTCTCTGATCGACTCGTCATCTCCCAAGTTTACTGTCTCTGTTTCATCCAGGTTGGGCTTTTTATCGTCTTCAAGTTGCCTCAAGTCCTCGGTAAGGTGTTCAGGCATCATAGTTTCCTCATCATATTCTTCACATCATCTCATCGACCTTACTTGGTTCGCCGTGTTCGTGACATGTCATGACATTGGCAGGTTTAGATTCATTTTTACTGAAAAGAACAACAAATCAACCATGTTAGATGAAAGAGTTTAAATGTATTTGTTGCAGAATAATTCGCAATGACAAGATAATCAATTTAAAATAAACGAGGCTTTCATTGGAATTTTAAAAAGGCGTACAAACTTTGGTCATGACTCATGAGTCATTTCCTTTTTAAACATTACGATGAAAAATAAAGTGACATAAATGGTGGTTTCGGGCCTCGTCCGAACAACACCGATTTTCAAAAATAAACTTCAAATCTTGTCTTTGTCTACCAAGCCATTCGATGGATCATAAGTGGAGTGGCCATCCAATTCTGCAGCATCTCTCCAGGTCCGGCATCTCGGATGGTGGGTGTTGTTGTGCATTCTGTCGAGATCACAACACAATCTTCTTCATCAAACAATCTTCCCATCCCTTCCACTAGACCATCAATCTCAGGCTCTAAAGCTTTAGCAACAAATGACTGGTACAATACTGGAATAGGCTTCGGTATATCACAGTCATGTTTCTTCCTTGTTTCTGCTTCAAACAATTCTTCCTCTGTTGGGGCATAACCGATACCGAATCGAAAATTTTGAAGTGGTATAGGAAGAGGTTCGGATATGCCATCCAAATTCTTGCCTAACCCACGCCCAGGTTCAAAACCACTTCTCAGCATAGTTGCTAGCATTTTATACACTTGCGGCATTGGTACTTGCAGTCGTGTCTTCAAAAGCAGCATTCATTATCTCCACCATGTGAAAGTCAGTACCGAGAAGACTCTTCAATAACTGGAATGGAGAAACCAGGGTACCTACGTCACTCCCTTCACCATGAATGACAATTTCATGGTCCTCCCAGATGAACTTCAAAAGTTGATGCAATGTGGATGGAACTGCTCCAACAGCATGGATCCATGGTCTTCCTAGCAATAAGTTGTAACTTGTAGATATACCCATCACCTGGAATTCAGTGACAAATTCTGCAGGCCCCATTTGGATACACAAGTCTACTTCCCCTGGTCTCTCTTTGCGAACCATCAAACGCCCTTACATTCATGCGGCTTTGACGGATTTTCCCTATCATATTTAGCTGAGTCAGGGTTGATAATGGGCAGATATTGAGCCCTGAGCCATTATCAATCAATACTCGAGCTACAAACTTGTCCCTGCATTTGACGTGATATACAAGGCACGGTTGTGCATAACCCCTTCGAGTGGCAACTCTTCTTCTCGAAAGAGATTTGATGACTCCCAATGACATGACTTACCATGGCGGCCAGATTTCACCACTTGTTCCCGTCGGCACGTATGCTTCATCAAGTACCTTCAACAGTGCTTTTCGATGGTACTCAGAACTCATTAATAGAGCCCAAACAGAAATTTGAGCGGGAGTCTTCTCCAAATGCTTGACAATGGAATACTCCTTAGGCTGCATTCTTCGCCAAAACTCTTCAGCCTCACCCTCTGTGATCGGCCTTTTCTGGTTCTCCTTTCTTCGTGTCTCCTGAGTTAGTTCTTCTGGAATGTAGCATCTTCCAGAGCGTGTCATCCCTTGTGCGGCCGCCTGGACAAACCTTTTTCGGACTGCTCATTGCTTCTTTCCTTCACCAAAGCAAATGCCTGATGAGGTGCAGTTATTACAACAAACTCTGGACGGGCCTTTATGGTCAATGAGGCCACTGTTGGTATAAGTGAGTTGACAGCTGCTTCACCGATAATCCCATTAGTAAGCCAATCTCGTCTCTTTCATCATGTTGATGGTAGCTACTCCATGATTCGGCAATGGGGTTAAGGTTCACATTGGGGGCAGGGGCTTGGAGAGTGATGACCCTGTTATCGATCAAGTCTTGAATCTTATGTTTCAGATTGATACATCCTTCTGTATCATGTCCTGCCCCTCCAGAATGGTACGCACAACGTTGATCTGCTCGGAAGAACTTTGTTGTGGGATTAATTGCCCTTGCGTCTACTGGTTGGATCAATCCTGCCGCTCTTAGACGCTCAAAGAGTTGGGTACGTGTTTCTGCCAAAGGAGTGAAAACTCTGGGAGGCTTTCTTTCAAGGTTAGGACGGGGTAGATTGTTGGCATTTGGGTTGTTTTGTCCGGGATTTTGGTAGACTGGTGAATTGGCTTGGTGATTTGGTAGTGTATTTTGGTAGGTTAGTGGTTGATTTTGGTAGATGGGCGGTGGTGCTTGGTAGTTCTGTTGTGCATAGTAGATTGGGATTGGAGCTTGTGGAGATGGTGGGTAAATATTTGAGGTGGGGAATCGGTTGGAGTTTCCAATGGCAGAACCAGACCCAAAATACCTTTGCGGCCTTGGCCTCGGGCTAAAAGATACAGCAGACACGTCCTCTTTCTTTTTCCTAGCGAATCCTGTTGCCATGGATGGTGAGGATTTGTTGGCGGCCTGCAAGGCAGTGAGACTTGTAACCTTTCCAGACTTGAGGCCATCTTCTATTGCTTCTCCCATTCTGATCAGCTCCGAAAACTTTTGTCCCATCATAGGCAACATCCTTTCATAATACTCGGGCTCCTGAGCTCGAATAAAAGCAGAGGTTATTTCGTTTTCAGTCATCACAGGTTGTACCTTTGCAGCTTCTTTCCTCCAGCGGCACGCATATTCACGATAGTCCTCCGTGGACTTTTGCTTGATTTTTTCCAAATAATATCTGTCAGGGACAGCTTCGACATTAAACTGGAATCTCTCCAAGAAATCTTTGGCCAGAGCCCCCCATGTAGACCACTGACGGAGTTCTTGAGATGTGAACCATTCTAACGCCTCCCCGCTGAGGCTTCGACTAAACAACCTCATAATCAATGCATCATTTTTCCCGATACCCACGAGTTTATCACAATAAGCTCGTAGGTGAGCCATAGGGTTCCCAATACCATTGAAGGTTTCAAATTTTGGAATTTTGTAACCTTCGGGTATTTCCAAGTCAGGGTGCATGCAAAGGTCCTCATACTCAAGTCCTGTTATCTTCCTCGAAGATTGGACACTTTTTACCGCCTCGGAGATGGCATCCTTCATGATATTCATTTTTTGTTCACGTTTTTCTTCTCTCAACCTCCACTCCTTCTCCATTTCTTCATAGTGATCCAGCTCCGGTTGAACGGGAAGCTAGGACATGGTTCAGGGATTGTATAGGCTGGTGGAGTTTGGAATGTTACGGAAGCGTATGCAGGCTGGCTAGGCAAAACACGTGGATTATCAGTAGCTGGGGGTGGGATTTGGTAGGTTGGTGTGAAGTTTTGGGAGTGATTAGTGTTAAGTGTTTGGTTCTGATTTGGTAATGGTGGTGGTGTTTGGTAGGAAGTGCTGGCGTAAGGAGCATTGGATACAGTTAAATCAATGGTATGAGGATTAGGGGTGGAAGTGATTGGTCCTGTGGTATGGGTAGGGAAATGGTTGGGTAATGGGGAACTTAGTGATGGAAAAGGAGGAGGCGGTCTTCTTGTTTCAAGGGGGGGTTCATTCGATGCAATGGCCAGTTTGGCCAGATCTTTGGTCTGTTGAAGTTCTTCCTGCATGTCTGCAATTCGTTGCATTAACTGAGAGATCAACTCACTCTGATCAGCGAGTTCAGCATTTCTAATAGTCACATCCACTATTCCTGTTTCTTCAGAAGTACCAGTCATTTTGCTCTTGCCTTTCTCCAGAGAATGATCAGGGAAGGATGGTATGATTGCTTTAGATCTTGTAAAGTAGGGATGGTCAGCCAGTTTGATTTCAACACAAATCGGTTTTTACCTGTAGAGAAGAACAACTCAAAGACATATGTGTTAGTTTTTGTTTTTAACGAGATATGCAAATAAGATGACATAATAATAACCACACAAGTGTCATTTTGCTTCAAGCAGATTAATCCACGAAAATATTTTGGGTGAACGGGAGGACTCAAATGGAAAGAATTTTTTCTTGTAATTGAATTGGAAAGGTGGAAAGGTCGACTTGCATAGAATCTTGCTATTTTCTCCCACTCATATGCTTTTGTAGGTGAAAGTCTTCAGAATCATTCACTAATAAGGGAGAATAAAAATAAAAAAGATAAGGACCGAGTCTTAAGTAGGCTGCCTACGTATCCACCAAGGAAATCAGGCCCAACGTAGTTCGAATTATATAAGATAATCTAAATGTACCCTTCCCAAATTGATAGAGAGACTAGGCTCGAAAAGAGCTTCCTACGTACCCCCTATGGGCTCAAGTCTCGCGTAGTTCTTGATTACAGTAAAAATTTAAAAACAACATGACAAACATAAGAAAAGTGTTACATAAACCTAAATCTACCCAAAGGCTTCTCTCCTTCTTCTTCAACTGTAGGGTGACGATCCGGTGCTCTCGTCATCTGAACCTACTTTTGTTTTACTTTTTCCCTTCATGGAGGGAGCCTTCCCAAAATTTTGTTCCTTAATGTCCCGTTCAATTTCAGGTATCCTTGCAAACGCTTGAGTGATATTAATTATCTCTTGATCAATTTTTGCAATCTTTCTTTTCACCGAGGTTGTTTCCATGTCAACCTTAATCATTCTCTCTCGTAGCATCCATTCAGTTTGGTCCAGTATCGCAAGTCTCTTTTTGGCTACAGCTATCCTCTCTCTAGTCTCGACAAATTTTCTGATCATTGACTCTTCAGTTTCTTCATCACTAACCAAAGCAACGGGTGGGATTGGTGCGTTGACACTTTTTCCAGACATTCTAGCAAGTCGACCTTCCTGTGATGGACGAATAAAACTGAGGAGATTTTTAGAGGAGATGGTTTATATATTTCTGAGAAACTTGGACAACACTTCAGAAGTAATTTGGACGGACTTTGTTGTTGTGAATTATGCTTAGAGTGCTCTAAGAAACAAAAGTGGATTAATTCTGCTTTAGACAAAGTGACACATCACAACACAAAACAATTATAAGCAACACAGAAACAGTTTATATCGCGCCCTAAACTTGTGACCTTTTTACGCCAAAGGTAGGCCTATCAAATTGAAGGATGTATGACGTCATTTGAAACATTCCATTGCCCCAAAACCCAAATTTATACAAGTTTTACGAATAAACTAAATGGGGATACATAATAGGGGAAATGGGATACAAAATATCAGTCTCGCGCAGGGGTACAATCCCAATCTATGCTTCCAAGGAAAGATCATATGTCCTTGATTTCTTGTCATCTTCGAATGTCCACACTCTTGGATGCTATGATAATTTGATCCTTCTTCGACTCGAACAAACGATTAAAACTCAACCCCAAGAGACAATGGTTTGCTAAATGGCGTATACATCCTTCAAATTCAAACACATAAGCATGATTGTCTTTTATTGACCAATGGGCCAAATAGACACAAGGTGGACTTCTAATGGGCCCAAACACGCCTTGGGTGTTGGGTCGACTTAGTTCAAATACGCTAAATTTGGGATTTGGTTTGGCTCTACACTAGTCTTGACTAAGAGTGAGGTTTATTTGAAGTGGACTGGTGACCCAAGCGGACTACTTGGGCTGGGACAATTAACGACCGTTGACTATCCAGTAGCCAACTACATTCGTCAGGGTGTCCCGAGAACAATTTGGTTAACGAACGACTGCGGCCCGCATAATCGTCCTTTAAGTGAAAAGAAAGAAAAAAAAAATGTCATTTGACGGAATAAATGATATGCATGCAATGACAGTTGATATCATAATTTAAGCAAATAAAGCACATTTGAGGTAAAACAATTCAACAAATATTAGCAAATAGTCAAAGAGAGTCAAGTCATTATGGTTAGAACCTAATTATATCCCCAGCGGAAGTCGCCATTTCTGTTATGTCGTAATTTGACTGTATTTTAGAAAAATCACTTTTTGAAATGTTCTAAGTATAAAACAATTTGAGAAAAATACTTAGAAAGAGTCGCCACTTAATTTTTTTTTAGAAATTAAGAAAACTTATAATTTTCAAAGATTTAAACAGAAAAAATCATTTGAAAATACCAAAGGGGGTTCGGGGTTCAATTTACACTTCGAGAAGGGTTTAAGCATTCGAAGTGCCCGCTAACATGCGGTTGACCTGCGACTTGACTAAATATATTTGACTATTTTTTAGGAAAATAACGATTTAACATAAGAAGAATAACTTACAATTTTGGTTAACTTAAAACAAAGTTAAATAAATGACACATTTTATTTTATTTTATTTTTAGAGAAAAGGGATCCAAAATGAAATATTTTACTTGAGACGCAAGTGAATAGAATTTTATTAAAAAAACTAGATTAATTAGGACTTACTTGACTCATTTTCTAAAATAATAATTTGATCCAAATTGATTAATTTAAGCATGAAACCATTTTAATTAATTGAAGAATTAAAGTTTCGACTAACCTTTTCGAGGAAAATGACTAATTAGAAAGAGAACATTTTTTAGTTCATTTGAGAAAAATACTTTTAACTTAAAATCACTTTAAAATAAAAATGTGATCGAGTGAAGCGGCTTTAAAACATATATTTTTTAAGAACAAAGATTTAACTTAATTAAAATACAAAATTCGACCAATATTTAATTAATAAAATAAATGACCTTAACACAAAAAAAATAAAATTCAAAGCAAATCAACACAAAGAAAGTAACTCGTCTTTTGGGGAATCTAATTAAGTTAATTAAAAAAATATAAAGTTAGAGTTAAACAACAAACGATAAATAATCACAATTAAATAATTAAAGAGTAAGGGAGAAATTGAATTTGGGCCCTTTTGGGCCAAATTCGCTGAAAATTTTGGCCTTTAAACCAATCCCGTTTTTGTATACACAGGCTGTATATTAGTGTATATCGGATGTATATAGCCCATTTATTCACTTTCCGAGACCTGTACGTCAACTCCAAAGACTTGTCCTTCGATTTTTCAAGATTGATTGACTCGGTAAATAACTTTTGGGCCTCCGTGGCCCGGTTCGAAATGAGAAGGAGATGGATTTGAGTCCAACTTGGACTCCAACGAGAGAGTGAGCATGTGTAAAAGAGAGAAAAGAAAAGAATAAGTAGACATCTTATACAAGTAATTATGTCTAAATAACAATATGCTTTGCTATTAGACAAGATAGACATCCATAATTCCCAACATATTAACAAACAAGTAAATGAGAACTCTTGATTTGAAATGGACACAAAACTTATCTTCATTTAAACTAAAGAAAAGACTAATGGAGAACTCTAAGGTATCATGTTATGATATACAAATAGAGATAACAGTTGCATATAATGGGAAAAAAAAAAACTAAAGAAGATTGGTGAAAAAATTTCCAAAGAAGAGTATAGTTAAAACAATGTATCGACACAATTTAATGAGATAAAATTCATCCAGAACAATGGGACAGAATTAGAAGGCTGCTGTTGTCAAACCAAAAGTTTCAACGAAATAAGTATCTAAAGGAAACTATAGTCCAGATTATGAAAGAAAGCTAAAATCAAACCGAGTCATTTCATGCTCAAATTATAAGTCGAAAGCTTCCACAACATATAAAGAAATGAGGTTTACAAACTTTTGAATTCAACTTAGTCACATTTTAATTGAACTGAACGAAATTGATTAACATAGATACGGTATTCACTTAATAGCACGGGTTAAAGGAAAAGGGAGGATGAAAGATCATTGCCATATAGAACAGTTTAGAAAAAAAAAAAAGCAATAACACAAAGCCACTATTTTATGCACATTAATCACGACAAATAAAGTGTGGGGGAGCAGCGAGGAAACTAGTTAAATAGAGGAATGATACTTTTGTCAAATACGAAACAACAATCTTCCCAAAAGGGCAGAAATCTCAACCAAAAGAATAATTCGAGTTCACCCTACATTTAAATTGGAGAGCTTTTTCATATCAACAAGTTCTAAGTCTAAATTATTTCAATAGAGTGGAAATTGTAGCCTACTATATTCAACAACCAAGCCAATACATTATATTAAGACGGAAGTTGGAGGCATAAGAATATTAACAAAATAATTGGCTACAAACAGAGAAAGCTATACTTGAATAGTAAATCAGATTTTTTGCTTTAACTTTACTCAAAATACTTAAAGTGATCACATAAGAGACCAATATGCTATCACACATATGTTAGAAGCACTAAACCATTAATCCCAAAACCATACTAAGCATAAAATCAATCTAAGATGGCATAACGAGTAGTTGAAATTCAAATGGATATGAAAGGAAAACTTTGGACAGCCTACAAGCTTAAGAAAATAACAAACCACAAGAGTATATGCAGAAACCAGAAACAAGATTAACTCTTAAGTTGAATACATGCACACTTTCGAATTAAAACTAAGAAGATTCACAGATTTAGAACTCATTTCGAAGCAACACCCACTGAAATAGACTCGAAACTATGCCTAGACAAGCTACCAGCAACTTAGAACTTGAACCAATGTCGACTATGAAGAAGCGCAAACATGGACACCATCATGTCAAAGAAGAAATACTAAAAAAAAAAACAACTCTATAAACAGTAGCTTTATACAGAGAAATCGCACCAATGCACTTGACATTTCTTAGATGCATAAACACGAATTCAGACGCCTATCATCGAACAAATACGAGGGGTAAACCCAAGATAAACAATAATCTTTATGGATGATTCAAACGAGTAACCGGAACATAATCTAATAAGCTAAGTAGATTTGTGACTATACTAACAAAAGAAATAGAGGAACATTGTTCTAGATAATACTCGTAAACCAAATTCTAACCTATAGAGACATAAAACAAAACTAAGAACACATAAACAAAACACATAGAAGAACGACGAATTAGCAAAGCTAAGAAAGAATTTACCTCTTTTCGGGCAGTGAACTGAGACAAGACGAGCTGCGAACAGAGACTCTTCCACCGCGAAATTTTAATACTAACAGCAAATCAATAAATTTAGAACCAGCTACGAACAGAAGTTTTCTCGAAACCTAGGATCTAGGGAATCGTTTGAATTTTCTTTTTGTGTAAGACGACTATTGTTTCAGAACTAAGCTCTCAAAAACCGTCCCCTAATCACTGAGAGTAAGAGGGTTATTTATAGGGAAAGATCCGCTGGAAAATTCAAACAGAGATTTGAATTTCTACTGCTCTTGCGAAGCAACAGTGAAGGCTGTTGTGCAGGCCTGCGATTTCCGTGAAAAGGGGGGAAAAAGAGACGCGAGGGTGATGGATTAGGTTGCTAGGGTTATGGGTTTGCAGACGGGCGACGAGATTTTCGGATTTGTTGGATTTTTTACAGAGGGATGGGCACTCTGTTCTTAGCTTCTAAAGAAGAACAAGATGTGTACAGGGAGTCGTTTTGCTACTGTTATGCGTGTGGTATTGTTATTGTACGTAATGGTTTCTTTTTTCTTTTTTTTTTGGTTGAAATTTGGAAATTTGGAAAGGTGGGCTGCTAGTGGAATTGGGCCGGTTGAAGGGTAATGGAAAGAGGCCCAAATTTGATTTCTTAAAGGTTTTAAAGGAGGTAAAATAAAAATGACTAAAATCATAAAAAGAAATATAGCCAAATTGATTTTAATTTGCAAAAGGCTAAAACCTAAATGAGACGAATTAATATAATTAATTAACGAGTTTCTTAATCTTAACAAAATTAAATAACTAATTTTAAAAAAAATATTAACTATTAATTAATTAAACTAATTGGCGAAATTTAAAGCAAAATTAAAACTTTTGAGACGATTTTCAAATAAAAATATACTAATTATATACATAACTATAAAAACATTTTAATTATTTTTTAAAAAAAATTTATAAAATTGACAAAACTTACATAAAAAATAACTCGAAAAATATTTCGAATCTCATAAAAGCTAATTAATTCAAAATTATAGCCATCACTTTAAAATACACTAAAAAATATAAAATCTTCTGAGATGATCTTCGAATATGTATAGGATATACTTACTTCATACATAATTATATAAAACATATATATTATTAGAAATTATAAAAAGTGATAGACTATTTAGAAACTTGCAATATATATATATATATATTTCTTTTTTTCTAAAAATTTATGAAACTAATTATTTTAAATCGTTTGAAATTGAAGAAACTCGATGATTAATCTATAATGTGGAGGTCCAAAATTGGGTGTCAACAATTTGGCCCATGGGCCGACCCCGGCCCGGCCCTGATCAAGCCTCAAGGGCTAAGGGCCTAAAAGGGTTGGGCTTATAAGCCCCAATTTTAAACGGGTTTGTAAAATATTATCCCAACCTACCTCAATAACGGGTTGGGTCAGGCCGGCCCCATGGGCTAAGCCCTTTTTGACGGCTCTAGTTGTGTGGATTATGAATATATGTTTAATTCACTTGGATGACTTGTTACGAAATCTAAGAAAATAAAATAGTTTTTTTAATCTTACATTTTAAATTAAAGTTTTTACAATATTTTACTTTTATCACATGACATGTTTAAATCCATAAAATTAAAGAATATTTTGATATATATGACATAAATTTATCTAGCCAAATACGTTCTTTATGGTTTTGTGGGTTATGATGAATATGTGTTCACTTCACTTCATTCATTCTGACTTAGATAAAGATACTTTAGTTCTCAAATTTTTTATTAAATAAGTAACGAGAGCAAAAATTAAAACCCATTAAATTTGAGAATAAAAAATGAAATATCACTCCAAAATAAGAAAGACAATTCGCACAAAAACTTTATTAGAGATCTCATATTTAAATTGTGACAACGACAAAAAGTCCTATTAAATAATATTTTTTCTCTTGAGCAAATCTTACACAACACAAATTTAAATTAATTTAATTTAATTTTAATATAAATATCGAGCTCGAAAAACTAAAAACTAAGTTTAGAGAGAAACGAAGAGGGTCAAGAAAATGCTCATTGATCATTAAAGGCACGTGTATATATATCATATTAATAAAGTTGACTTAAGAAAACATTAAATAAGGGTAGAATGGTAAAGTTACATCATGTTTTAATGCAAGTGCAAAAGTAAAAATGTATATCTAGGTGTTTCTTAATTGAATATTTAATGTAATTTTGAGTGTGATATATGGAGAATTTCTCCCATATATATATAAAGATAATTTTAATTACTTTGTTTGGAGTGGAGATTATTTACTTTCACAACAACTTCAAATTTCATATGACACCTTCACGTAAATTCAGGTGATGAGGATACTTGTGTATTTGGTGCGGAGGAAAACATTTTCCATCGAAAATAATTTATTTAAAAATAAGAAAATTGGCTTTTTTGAATAGCTAAAATAAAAATGTTATAGTTAAATGGAGTAGTTTTTACTTATAAATTGTATATATAGAGAGAGAGTTTTACGAGTTAATAACTTAAAAAGTTACTCAACTTAGAGAATTTATCTAATAAAGTCATTAAACTTTATTTTGTATCAATAAAATCACTCAATTAAATTTATTATTTAAAACAATCTAATATGACAAAATAAACTATTTTTTATAACAGGTAAACATGAACCCCACTAATAAATAACTTTAAAAACTCATTAAAATTATTTTTACAGACAAACTTAATTAGTTAAACAAATAACCTTATGATACTACAATAAACAAATATACACTAATACTCTAATCAAATTCACGACGATAACTCCAAGCACACAAAATTCAACTTTATTTTCTCATTTCCAACTTTTTTTCTGGTTTCAGAAAGTTGTGAGGATTTGTAAAAAAAATAAATCTGCTGTGTTTCTGGCGAATTTCAGAATGCAAATTTTTTTTAATGCTTTTTCTATGAAATTTTGTGAAATCCTTAATTTTTTGGAATATAATACGTACTTTAACTTTTTTCGCTAGAAATGATAATTGTAGAGCAGGAAATTCCATATGATATTATTGTAATGCCATAAGAGTATTTATTTCACTAATTAAGTTTGCCTGTAAAATTTGTAAATGAGTTTTCTTTAAATTTATTTATTTATGGAATATAATACGTACTTAACTCTTTTCGTTGGAAATGATAATTGTAGACCAGGAAATTCCATATGATATTGTTGTAATGCCATAAGAGTATTTATATCACTAATTAAGTTTCCCGTAAAATTTGTTAATGAGTTTTCTTTAAATTTATTTATTTATGGGATTTATATTTACATGGTATATATAAAAATAATTTATTTTGTCAGGTTAGTTTATTTTTAATGATAAATTTAGTTTATTGATATAATTTTATAAAAAAACAAAGTTTAATGATTTTGCTATATAAATTCTTAAAATTGAATGAGATATTAACTCGAGTTTAATTTACTCAACCAACAAATAACTAAGTCAAATCAATGATTGACATGTTATATGTATACTATATGAAAAACTATATCGTAAAATATTAGTCAAATTTCTTAAAGTTTGTTTTTAAAAAGAAAATTATGACAATTAAAAGTGGACGGAAAGAGTAGTACCACATACAACGTTTTGTTTTGTTGAGACTTTTGGAATATTTAGTCCATGCACAATATTAATAATTAGAATTACAAGTTGATTAAAATATCGCATTAATTAATTAATAAGCATATATGTGCATAAACAAACTGTCACATGATATGGTACTTTTTTTTTTGCATAATATTTGTACTTAATATATTGCATCCTACTACTAAATAGAAGTTGCCATTTACAATGACTTCAAGTTACGATAAACATGGCCTTCTCCAGGACTAGGGCCTGAATGACTTTCAGACTTAACAATTTCAATACTTGAGACTGATTTCAAATTGTGATGAACATTGCCAATAGCAGGAGTTGGGACTAACTTCAAATTGCGATAAACATGGCCTTCTCCAGGACTAGGGCCTGAATGACTTTCAGACTTCACAATTCCAATACTCGATACTGATTTCAAATTGCGATGAACATGGCTGATTCCAAGACTAGGGCGATCAAAATTACCTATTCCAGGACTGGGGACTGATTGCATATTGTGATCAAAGTTTCCAATTCCAGGACTTGGAACTGATTGCATATTGTGATCAAAATTTCCAATTCCAGGACTGGGGACTGATTTCATATTGTGATCAAAATTTCCAGTTCCAGGACTTGGAACTGATTCCATACTATGATCAAAATTACCAATTCCAGGACTTGGAACTGATTGCATATTGTGATCAAAATTTCCAATTCCAGGACTGGGGACTGATTTCATATTGTGATCAAAATTTCCAGTTCCAGGACTTGGAACTGATTGCATACTATGATCAAAATTACCAATTCCAGGACTAGGGACCGACTCCAAATTGCGATCAACATGGCCACCAACATATAGTTTTTTCGTATTTACTAATATGACGTGACCTCGTTTCAATGGGGCCGAAGAAGCCGGGTTAGTGACCTTCTTCTTATCCATGTTGTTCAATTGTTTTCTTGCTTCAAAACATGGTGCAACACAAACTAACATAATAACCAAAGCAATCAAAAACATAAATATTGCAAAACGAGCCATTACTAATATTTGGAGAGTGATGTCTAGTTGGGAGCAAAAAGGAGAAAAAAGAAGTAATGAAACGAAGAAAAGTAAGTTTATTAATAAAAAAACATGCTATTTATAGACAACAAATTTACTTCATTTTAAGAAAAAGAAGAGTTTTGGTTTGTGTATTTATCCTAGGAAGTGTCTTGGAAATTGGATAGGTACAGATGAACTAAACTAGAGAGTAGTAATAACTAATAAGCCGCCGGCATTTGCTGTTCCCATTATATTTGCCCTCTTGCTCTACGTATAATATTTATGGTCGTGTGGATTATGATGATATATGTTCACTTCACTTGGATGATCTGACACGAAATTTAAGAAAATAAAATAAAATTTAATTTTACATTTTTTAATTAAAAGGATTTTTAGTTTTTCACACGACATATTTAAAACATAACTTTATCTAGTCAAATACGTTCTTTATGGTTGTGTGGATTATGATGAACATATGTTCAATTCACTTCGTTCTTAAATACTACTCTCTCCGTTTCTTTTTATCTGTCATCTCTTTCTATAAATAATTGGTTCATAATACTTGTCATTTCATAAAATCAATGCATAAATTATCATATTGTTCCTTTTTTACCCTTATGAGTTATTAGCCTTGAAAATATACATTTGAACAACTTAGAAAAACTAAGTAAATGATTCATGTTCATTGGTTAAATAAATTAATTCATATTCATTGATTGAAAACTTGAGTTTCAAAAAAATTAAATAAGGGTAGAAGGTAAAATTACATCATTTCTTAATGCAAGTACAAAGTGAAAAGGTGACATATAAAAAGGGACGGAGGGATCAATACAACGAAATCTGAAAAATTCCTACAAAATTATGTCAGGTGAGGTAAAAATTCCCTAAACTTAAACCGAACAAATTAGTTCTGGCTAGATAAAAATACTTTGGTTCACACAATTTTTCTATTAGATGAACAATAGAAACCAAAACTAAAAATTGAGAATAAAAAATAAATTCACTCGCAAATAAAAACAACAATTCGTGCAAAAACTTTATTAGAGGTGTCACATTTAAATTGTGACTATGACAAATGAATCTTACCTAACATAAATTCAAATTAATTAAATTAAATTCCAATAAAAACATCGAACCTTGAAAAATTAAAAATAAGTTTTGAAAGAAACGAAGAGGGTCAAGAAAATGCACAACGTTCATTAAAGGCACGTGTGTATATAATATATACAGTGAACTTGTATTTTTGAAATCTTAATTTTTAGTAATTTGGTCAACATTTAACTTTCTTTTCCATCCACAAAATGCGGTTGAAACCTTCGAGTTCATGATACATGTTGTGACAAAATTGACAACGATTGACTTATTGCGTTACACGAATTAAAACAGTAGGAAAAAATATATTTTTTCTAAAAAGTATACGATTTTATACTACTTTTTAAAATATATTTTGATAAGTAAATAAAAATATTAAATATAAATATTTGTATATAATCTAAATCGAATATTATAAGCTTATAAGGATGGGGTAGAGGGTGATGGGATGGGACGCTATAGGCAGTGGCGGAATGTCCAGAAATTGCATAAGTACATTTTTTTTGGACGAATGAGTGTATTAAAAATTTTAATAAGTAATATTAATTTTGAATTATTTAAAAAATAACAAAAGCTCTTTTTAAAAAGTGAATTTTTTTTTGTTGCTAATGAAATTCAAATACGAACACTTTTAGTATTGACTCTTTCAATGCATCTGAACCATTGGGCCACAACATCTTGTTGTGTCAAAGGTGTTCATACTATATTATTTAATCAATTCGTGTATCATTTTCCTTGTATGTACAATATTATTTTTTGACGAAGAGTGTTCAATTGAACACCTTGATAACTACGTAGCTCCGCCCCTGGCCGCTATAAGAAAATCATGGCCCATAAATTGGGAGGAGACAATTATATTGAGATGTTCACTTCTCGCTCATAGCCCCTTATAGAGTCAATATGATTCAAAATATTTTCTCATGCTTTCACTAGAAAAATAACATGATTACTTTTAAAACTTTTTTTTTTTTTAAATCAAAATATTTCAACCAATTGACTATAAACAAAAAATATTTTTCTTCATATCGAACCTATACTAAAACAAGGACAAGAGGAGTTGCATGCATGGTTGACATGATCGCTTTTATTGCTGACCTTTGCAAGGCAAATAAACAGTATTCCATGCACTAAGCAAAATGGATAGTTACGTATATGACTTAATTAATTAATTAATTAATTAATTAACACTCACACTCTAACCAAAATGGATCAGTTACGTATTGGAGTAGTATTAAAAAAAAACACTTAAGAGACGGTTGACATTTTAATTATCTAAGCAATATTTTTATAAGTAACAGTATTATGATTAAAAAAAATATTTATGCACTAACTAAAATCTTGATGAGCTTCTAAATAATTTCTCAAAACATTTGGATCAAAGGTCAATAATACTCTATCTGTTATAATTTGTTTGTCTTAGTTTGATTTGGCGCATAATTTTTTTAAATAATTTATTTTTTAAAATTTATCATCTTAAACTAAATATATATACATATAATAATAAACGGAATAATCCTTTAATTTTGTGTTTTTTTCTTCCTTAATACCTCCCAAATAAGATCCAATTTCTTGACTATATAGTTCCGTGTTGAGGGGCTTTTACTAATGTATATACATACTACTATTGAATCTTGTTGATAAGCATGTTGACCCCATAGCATATTTATCGAGCGAAATATGATGCATGTGAATTTATGATTTATCCGTAAAATTAGATGTTTATATGTATGTTTTTAGAATTGATATAATGCTATTTGTTGGTAGCTATGTGCTGCAAAATTGATGGAATACATTTAATTAGTTGAATGCGGAGTTATTTATCTAGAATAATAGGAATCAGTTTCTATTTGATATTTTTATTTTATTTTTAACAAGATATTCATATTCTAGATCCGCCTCTGCAGAGTGGGTCACTAGTGTCAAAGTTGGAGAAAATGCATAAACTTTTAGCTTTTTATTCTCATTTCGTAGAAGGAATTGAAATTCATGTTATAAGTACTGTTCATATTTTTCTCTTTTTTTGGGAAAAAAGATTCAAAGTAGAGGTAGAGTATACTTTGCGTGCACACCAAAATTAAGTCACTGCAGATGATATGATATCTCCTAAACGAACATTAATGTACATCTTTTAGTGCATTTACGCATGCGTTCAAAGATAGATTCAGAATTTAAAATACTAAATTTTACGAATTTGAAATTCTTGAACTACGAGTGTAAGTGGTAATAACTTGTCACTATTGGTACAAGGGGAGGAACGAAAAATTCTATTTTTAGTTTTTCTTTTGCCTAAATTTTAGTACCGTTTGGAGATTTAATCCTTAGAATTATGTGCCTAAGATGGTAAGGATCTTTATAGTCATATTTATTTCCTGATTTTACCTCCTTCTGCAATAGTGACTATTCTATTTAATACTAATCATAAATATTAAGTATTGTAGTTATAGAATTTATTCGTCCTTTTTTGACTATTTGAGAATGACTTAAATAGCTATGTTTTCAAAGGTAAACACCCAACTGACGTAAAGGGATTTTCAAAAATGTAAGGAAGAAGACATTTGAAAGGCTTACCACTATCTAATAGGTAATCTGGTGGTAAAATCAACTACTACACAACTATATGTCAAGTCATGAGCAATAATATCGAAATCAAGCCATCGTATATCTATAGGCAAAGGGACGAAAGCACGACAATTGCTCTAGAAAAAAAATAAAGTAGGTTAAAATTATGAAGTTACCTAGTCATACTATACAAAAAGAAAAATGCGTCAGTTGCATAGTCATGTTAATTAGGGATATAGACTAGAGTACGAGGAACCCAAAAAAAAACATAAGGAAATATTTACAACTTGAGGTTTTATATATTAATGCGGAATTAGACATACATTTTTTTCAAAAATCGACTTATGTTACTATCACCAATTGCCTATGAGGTTTCTCATCACAAGATCACTTGTGGAGTTGTAAATTCGATCTTCACAACAAGCACACTCTAATCTAAAAATGTTTGTCTCTCAAAATTTTATAGTAAAACAAAGTAACATTTAACTCCCATTTTATTAAGTATAAATTATAGGAACCACATATTATAAGTACTAAATAAAATTCTATCCCTTCTAGTTTTCTATTTACCAAAAATCCCTTAAAATGATGTTTGCGGGATACATAGCGTTGTGCACGGGATACATTAGGTTTGATATATTCCACATAGCGGGATACATAGCGTTGTGCACGGAATACATTAGGTTTGATACATTCCATATAGCGGGATACATAGCGTTGTGCACGGGATACATTAGGTTTGATACATTCCACATAGCGGGATACATAGCGTTGTGCACGGGATACATAGGTAAATAAGGGATTTTTGAAAATTTTGAAATAAGTAGGGATAAATGGATATTAAGGTAAGTAAAGGAGTGTAGTTAAGTAATTTGTCCTTTTATTAAATACCTTCATAACTCTTTTTCCATTAAACAAGAGAGTTACATGTTATTACATTCATGTGAAGAGTAACTTATTTAATAGCTCCATTAAGGGTACATTTACATTTAATTAGTTCTCCTTAACTTTGCACTAACAATGGCTCGATTTGACATGATTTGTTCAATTGTTTTGATCATTCTACTAGCCAAGTTTGTACCTAGTTTTGAAGCAAGAAAAATCATTAATAACATGAAAAATGAAAATATTAATCTTGATCATTCTCATGAGGCCAAGTTGCTTCATTTTCCTTCGAAAAATAATGAAGCTCGACCAAAGTTTGTTAGTAAGAAAAAACATTTTGTGACTCAAGGTCATGTCGATCACAATATCGGGTCAAACCCTAGTCCGGTAATCGGACATTAATAAGCTTCCGCGCAAACAACGAGAAATTAGAAATATAATAGGCGGAATATATTACACGA